CGCAATGATATTACACAGCGCCTGAAAATAGTCCCCAGCACGCTCCCTGTGCAAGCAGGTGGTCACGTTGGTTATGTTGACGGAAGTTAGCCTATTTTCAGGCGCTGCGTAATATCTTGCTAGAAAATCGCAACTTTTCATTATCCGTCATCTTAGTACACAATGTAACTACAGAAGAGTCAAGTTTTAAATAGGAAAAATATAGAAACCCTTTGGTCATTTTTGAGCAAGATGCAAAAAATGATCTATGCTAAGCTAAGCTAAAAGTGCTACCGCCAGACCCGGAGATCGGCTGAATGGATTCGAAAACGGTAAAACTCAACTTTAACTCTAGGGGAGTTGGAAAATGAACCTATTTTAAAAAATAGTGGAGTGTTCCTTTAAACCTGCTATACAAATGCACCTTTACAAGATCGCTAATTGCCTGCCAAACGGCTTAACCAATCATAAGCACTCTTGTGTTCTTATGAAATCCGTTTTGCATATTGTGAATCATTTAGTGTCTCCAACCCTGAATCTCTTTAAGCGGTGCACTGCAACCACCCTCTGATTTGCTAGCATGGCATATCATAGCACTGGTTTGTAGCTCAATGGCATAAGAAGCATCTTAAATTGCAAATCACCTCCCCCAATCCCACCCCCACCAGCCCTCTGGAACAAATTATTTATGTATCACACCAACTGAGACTATAAATAATATATTGTGCCCCAGATCCCTGTGTCTAGAATGAAAGCATTTATCCTCTTTTGAAAACATGTAGTGGTATCAGAGCGCAAGGGAGACTTTCTGTAAGTGCAACAAGGGCTGAATCATACGGGGGAAAAACAACATACAAATAACTTAAACACGAGTGTGTCTGACTTGCTATGTTTGGAGAGCGAGAGGAAGAGGCCTGGAGGAAATATCAGGGTGTAAAAAAGTAAGTGTGAAGACAGAATCAATAAAACCAGATGGCGAGAAATGACACTTTCTTGATGGAGGGACATCCTGTCAAGTTTGGCTAACAGTGTGAGATAGAAGAATGCTAGTTTAGAGCCTGGGAAGGGTTGAGGTTTTGTAGTTATACTTTCTTAATAAACTGATGAGATGAACTTTTATTGCTTTACCATTGTCTATGAAAACTGAATTATTCATTAAAATTGCTATTAAATAAAATTATTATTATCTAAACAAAGAGTGAATTAAACAAAACAAATTAATATTTATTGTGGTTTTTTTTTTTTCAAAAATTACGACTGTAAAAGCAAATACATCTATCAAGTATCCATTGTTTTCATATTGTTGCATTCTGTTGCAGTTAGCTCTGGTTTTTAAATTTGATTGGCTGATATTTTGTCCACACCACTGGGAATGGTTTTAATTGGCAGAGCAAAAAATACAAAATACTGCAGTGATGGCAGAAACAAAAACTTTGAATTAATTCAAATTAATTCCTTAGCAAAATGATTCACTGTTACGAAGCTGCGCACTGGTTATCATAACATTGTAAAAGCAACGTGAACACAACCTAAATGTTAATAAAACACATTTTACAAACAAATTGCAAATGTTTTCAAACGTTTGATGTATTAAATGTGATCTACAAATCAAAACTACCATTAAATATATTGTATCTTAATTTGTTCTTTCATTTATAGTTTTTGTTTGATGTATTTATTGGCGGGATTTGGCTAATTAGGCTAATCAGGAACTATTACTTATCCCTCTCCCTTTATACTTGCATATTTATTCAAATTCATTCAAACTGAACTCACATCATAAAGCTGGCCAGAAATCTGCTAAAACAATATATTAGGCCATGGTTCATTGGTTAGGCACTGCTCTCTAGCAGAGAACCATAAAAAAAAAAATTTGAAACCGTTGACGTAAAGAAGCCCTGTTTGCTGAAATGATGTGGCTTGGCCAGTTTAATATGTGCTCCGAACCACTGATTTGAAACAAAGGGTTTGCCAAGGTTTCAAAGCTTCAGGAAACATTGTTTCGAAATCGCACACCATTACAACACTTTGTACGTTACTAAACATTAAGGTTTTGTTTTCTGAACTGTTAAATTATTATTTTTTAATCATTTTTGAACAACAGTGGAGCAGCAGTTGAGTATAGTACTCAGAACCCTACTGAGGTTTGTTAGTGTACAACTGCACTATGCACTGGCAATGCATCGCAACTTTTGTTTGTGGGCTTAATGGCAGATGTATTACAAAGTGCAAAGCCCAAAGGGCCAATGAGTGCATGAGGACACCTGTCCAAGGTTGGATTGGGGGGATTCATTGTGGTCCACTCAGGATTTGTTCCCTTCAAAGGCTTTGATCTGCAAGTGTTTAATTACTCAATAATGCTGATGAAGTCCTTGAGGCGCTCAATCTCAGTCCTATCAGACATACAGTACAGGGCTTTATTGAGTTTCCCTCCCACTCTTCCCATCTACAGTTGCTGCATTGGTAAAGACAGTGTGGTGAGGTAAGTCACGCCCATATAACACACAACTCTTCACCCGTTCCTGTCTCGTATTCAACACCAAGAGGTGACACTTTCAGGTCATAGGATTGAGGGATGCTCTCTCTCTCTCCCTCTCTTTCTCTCGCTTGGTCTCTTTCTTTTTCTCTGAAGTCTCCTGCTGTCAGTTCACACCTTTCTGAAGTGGAGAGAGATAGACCTGCTTCCATCCTCTGGCAAACAAGGCTGGCCATCAATCACTGCTGCGCTGACGCGTGGCCCTCATGGCTTTTTCTGAACATGCCTCAGGGTTAAATCTCAACTACTGTTCCTACTCAGCTCCTACTGTCCTAAGATGATTTAAGAGCATTACTGGGAATATGTGACAAAAACACTGGAATTCTGAAAAGAGAACAAAATAATCAAAACTATCCACCTTTTTCTTCAACGCGGAAGTAAGCCTATGGGTGAGACTTCCGGTTCATTAGCCGCTATAGGTAAATAACGAGGAGAATAACAACGTGCAGTAAACAGTAAAACTGTTTGCACTACAAACCAGTGTGTTCATAATTAAGATAATACATTAAAATAATATGATAAGACACACCAACTTTCAATATCAAGCAGCAAAACGAACTGTTTTGCTCAGCTAAAAATAGCTGGACAGAGTGGACGCAGATGAGACCGGAAGCCAGAACCATATAATTTACAAATGGCCGCGCCCATTTTTACGACAAGAAAAAGGTGGATACCCCAAACAGTTTGTTTGGAAACATATTGAAACACAGGAGATATATGACATGAAACTAAAGTCCGACTTACATTATTTGTGGAGATTTAGGAGAACTGACAAGTTTTACTGGGTTAGTTTTTGCTCAGTAAGAGATTGAGAGTTAGCTTACATTAAGATGTTAACGTGAAAGTAATTTAGATTTTTACAAATTATCAGACAGGATAGAATAATTCAGAGTGAGATAAACCAACTAACCCAACAAAACATACAAATGTTAAATCAAACAAAAAGTCATTAAATCCATCGCTAATACTTATGTTTTGCTGTTGTTGTCTCTCCAGAATGATGTCACTTCCTGGTGGATGATGTCACTGAGGAAGTGGCTTAAAGGGGTTATTAAAGGGAAACAAACAACTGGATGGAAAGGATATGGAGGAAAACGTTCTAGATAACAGTTATGTTAATATATTGATGTATTGAGATTTGTGTACTTTTATAGCTGGAGGATACTGATCTCATCACTGGACAGAGACCACAGTCTCATCATTTTTAAATAAGTACCATGTAGACCCAATGCCCAAAATGATCATTTGCTGAGCACCAGAAGTCAAATGTAAAGTTGGGCAATGGCCATAACTTGATTAGGAACTGCAACATAATGCATATTTTAAACATTTACCATCAGAAGTTTATTTTTGCCATGAGAAGTACATTTGTTAGAATATTTCTCACAAAAAAATGTGAGGAACAAATATTAGGACTAGCTCAAGAAAAAAATGAATATACAGGGGGGAAAAAACAGCTATAATAATGCCACTGTAATGGGTAGAACAAATAATCAAAGTAGTACAAAATAGTTTCGTGGCCAGAAAGAAATGCATTTAAATCCAGTAAATTTTCTCACAACATTGGCAAACATGGCAAAAACGTATGTTTGGACCCTGTACCCTTATGTTTGTACTGTACACAGCCATACAAAATTCCCTCTCTAAACAGTGTGAAACAAGTGATAATTTATATTTATTCTGAAGAAAACCAGACTACATGAATGCATAGAAGGTGCTTTAACAATTATAACAGCAGTGAAAATGAAATTTTTGTAAATATCTATACTAAGAAAACCATATGACCTAGATTTTAGCACAAAAGCAGCTTGTAACAAATGTGTGTGCATTTAGAGAGCAACTTCCTTTACAAACAACTTACATAACTATTTTAAACAAAAGTTCATCTGAGAGAAAAATTCTCTGCCAAATTCAAGGGGAGCTGATATATCTATTACAGTGCAAAAATCCTATTCTATATCAGTGTTTTTGTCTTGTTTTCCAGTAAAAAAATCTACAAATCCTCATAACAAGATAAACATACCTGAGAAGTAAAAATGATGCAGAATATTAATACTTATTTTCAGAGAAACTATCTTAAACATATACTACCGTTCGAAAGTTTGGGGTATGTAAGATTTTCTAAAAGATTTATATCTGATTTATATTTGAATATATCTGACAGTGTAATTTATTCCTGTGATGGCAAAGCTGAATTATCAGCAGTCATTACTCTAATTTTCAGTGTCATGTGATCTTTCAGAAATTATTATGCTGATTTGCTGGAAGTAACATTTCTAATTATTATCAATGTTGAAAACAGATGCGCTTCTTAATATTTTTGTATAAACTGTAATACATTTTTTTTCAGGACTCTTAAATGAATAGAAAGTTCAATAAAACAGCATTTATTTGAAATACAAATCTTTCATAACATATTGCCACTCAAATTAATGTGTCCCTGATGAAGTATTCATTTCTTTAAAAAATAAAATCGTACTGACCCCAAACTTTTGAACAGTATTGTATTTTGTATTTTTCCATTAGCAGATTTTTTGTAACAGGCATAAACCTCGCCAAATATTTTTTGCAGTGTCTAGGAACCTTAGTGCCCCAAACACAACAGCATTAACAAGTCGTTCCGTTGCATGATAAGAGAAGAAATTGACTTCAGTCCAAAATCAGTGCCAACATTCTGCTTGGGAGCACCTGAGGTTCAGAAACAGACAGAGCGATGACTTATCACAGCGCAGCACGTTAGGCCGGCTAAGATGGATATCGCACTGAACGGCAGCCCTCCTGTCACTGCGCAGTGCTCCGAGCGCCCTGAGAGAGCAGCGCCACTAAGTGTTATCAGGGCTGAAGAGGAGGAGACAGGGAGGAAGGCTTCGTGACAGCACGGCGCTCCATCTCGTCCCAGCCAAACTTTGCAGAGTCAGACGGGCGAATTAAATCATCAATTATAGCACAAGGTGAGCTGAAAGCACCGCGTAAAGGTCGCCGAGTGGAGGGAAAAAACGGCCAGCTCAGGGCTTTTCTCTCTGCGTGCCACTCTTGAGTTTATGGGAGGTCCGGCACAGCACAGAAATGGAGTTTAAATTTTAAACAGGCAGAGAGAGGGGGGCCCCAGGCCCTGTGTGAAGATTTCAGGAGGTGACAGGGTGAGAGGGAGGAAAAGAGTGAGAGAAAGAGATGTCTGGACTGAATGTGGAGCAGCGAGGGACATTCATAACTAATTAAACAGTCAAAGCCAACGGGGCCTCGGATGCATCACGCTGCAGGTCTCAACCGCAGTCCATAGGATCCCATTAGAGGAGGCTGATAATTGCTGTGTTTGTGGTGCTTCGCTCAAATAAGGGTGCACTGTTCGCTATTACGTTTCTTGTACAAAGCCAACAAGTGGCCTATCACTGTCGCAGCATAGAGATGATAACGTCCTGCGCTGATCACTCCTCTTCCTCCACATAAGTTGAAGGGAACCATCCCACCTGTGATATAAACAGCATCAGTAAACAGTACTGAAGACTAACGGAGCATATCTCTTCTTCTTCGTGACTAGTTTAAGAGCTCTTGTGGGTCAGATCTGATAATGACATGTGCAGAAGAATCATTAAGAGTCATTCTGCCATCTTCTGTCATCACTTCTAGTTAATCATCTCTCTTAGAAATGCACTTGAGCATATGAAATGAAGAAAAGCGAATGTAATAAGGCTTGAGGACAGATTCGGGTGTCTTGGAGAGTTAAGATCAGCTATATTGCAGGGAAATGGTGAGCCAAAATTTAATTTCAATCTCAAATGTCAGTTACTGTCTCACACCTCTATATTGCCATGTCATGGATCTGGGTATGTTTAAAAAAAATGTTTTACCATGAACATGAGTACCACTGATATATTATAACATATGTAAATCAATAGGCCTGAAACACATGACCATATTCATTACTGAATCATTAATATGTATAAAATTAGTTGGGGTTGGTAAGATTTTTAATTTTTTGAAAGAATTCTCTCTCATCAAGGCTGTATTTAGTTGATCAAAATTACAGTAAAATAGTAATATCTCAAAATATATATTAAAAAAATCTATTTTAATACATTTTAATTGTATTATTTATTCATGTGATGGTAAAGCTGAATTTCCAGCAACTGTTACTCCAGTACTCGGTGTTTAAAAAACATTTCTAATTATTATCAGTGATGAAAACAGTTGTGTTGCCTTATGGTAAATTTTTTAAAGAATGTTAAAAAGAACAGTGTTTATTTGAAATAGAAATATTTTGTACCATTATAAATGCATTTACTCTCACTTTTGAGCAATTTAATGCATCCTTGCTGAATAAAATGAATTTCTTTAAAAAAAAATCTTTCTGACTTTTGAACAGTAGTGTCAATATAAAATATTAGAAAAAAAATATTAAATTAAATAACAGACAATATTATCAAAGTTTTATTTTTTAACTAATCTGACTAATGATTTAATGTGTAACTATAACAGAATACAGAGCTGTTGGTAACATTTTACATCAAGTACATTATGTATCATAAACATAATTACAGTATTTATTAATGCAAGATATTAAAATTCTGTCTGATAACTGATCACTGGCCAATATTAGGATTCTTCAATACTATGCTGGCTGTATAATTCTATTGTCACTTCTTCATATCTGACTGTGTGTGAACACAACTGTATTTAGCACTCTGACAACCATTACTTGCTGCAGTGTGCCTAGCAATTCCCTTTTGAGAAACCATGAACTGTGATTTGCATGGAAGGGCAAGAGTTCAGTTCCATGATGTGCAAGGTTGGAAGAAAAGCTTCACACTATCTAAACAAACATGAAAGCACCAAAACCTCTAGAGAACTGCTTTCATACTTGAGCTTCAATTGAATAATGGTGTATAAGAGTGGTTTTCCTCACCTGGCCATTGACTTCACCTTTCCACCATCCATTGGTACACTTGATATAGATCTTCACCAGGTCGCCCACCAGCAGAGAGAGCTCCCGTGTATCTCTGGAACTGAAATCATATCGTGCCAGTGCAATGCCAAGCACTCTCGGGGTCAAAACTGAGGGAGAAGGGGACAAAAATAAGTCAAAAAGAGCGAGACACCCATGTTTCCACAGGACATGCCAAGTAGGACAAAACATGTGAACGTGCAACAAGATGATTGGAGATTTTGGCACAAATGGCATTGCATCATGCACAGACATTTTCACACACAAAATGTGGAGACAGATCCACTCTCTCCGCAGCTCTCGGAAAGCACACATACACTACAGAGAGAGCTGAAGCAAACACAGGGAGCAGAGACTGAGATGGCTGGAGGGGGAAATGAATAAGACAGGTGGCTGATAGCTGTACCTGACCAGAAGGGTGAGGGGGAGGGAGGAACAAAACTGTAGCTGGTGGGACTCAAAACGGAAAGCCCACACAGCACTGGAGCTTAGGATCCAAGCCGAGGCAGAGCAAAGAACATAAGAACACAAAAACCCAGAGATCTTAACATTTTCAACAAAACAAACATAAACAAGCTGATATAAAGAACTCCACACAGCACTGGGCGAAAGAGCACTCTCCTTGAAATATGCCAGTCTTGAGATTCACACAAGTTTCACACAAGATGTCTCAATGAAAAATGTCTCAATGAACATAAAATAAGTCAATAAGGTCCATAAAATAAGTCAATAAGGTCCATTGTTGTTTTCAACTAGGGCTGCGCAATAATACTGCCAAAAATATATTATTCAGTATATAATATACAATTTTCATTTCATACAATAAATGGGGTAGGAAATGCATCCCACATGTTTGTTAGACCTCAAGAATGAATATAAACATAGCTTTAGATGTAAACAACAGAGTAAGCTACCTTTTAATTTAGGGCCTCACGAAATCAGCCAGTTTATAAATTTTTTCCTGAATTCTGTTATGACGATGATTCTGTACAAGTTTATCATCAGAAATATTGTCTAAAATAAATTAATAAAACTTAAAACAATTTAATCAGTCTTTTAAAATGTAATCAATATGCTGATTTGGTGCTTAAGAAACATTTCGGCAACACTTTCTATGAAGCCCATATTTATAATACATTATATGGGTATTCTTAAGGCATTATAATGAATGCATAATGCATTATAAAAACCCTTATAATATGTTATATCACCTTATGAATATTCATAAGAACAGTTTTAATGTTTTATAATATTTAAATATTTGTGGTTATAGCTTTTAAGAGTATGATGATTTATAACACATAGACTAACAGGACCATCAAAATAAAATGTAACCTAACATATAAACATATAAGAATTCTTTTCAGTTGAAATTATTAACTAGCTCACATCAAAATTAATATTAGCCTCACAGGGAACACTCAAATAACACTCCACACCTAACCACTTACAAGATGTAGTAAGATACTGTGCAGATCTTAAATAAACAATGTCAAGATATATAGTCCATTATAAATGTAAAAATAGATTTTATATGGTGTTCATTGTGTGTTATAAATAATCATAACCTTAAAACTTATAACCACAAATGCATAAGCATTATAATGTATTATAATTGTTGTTATGATTATTTATAAGATGATATAACATATTATAAGGTCTTTTATAATGCATTATGAATTCATTATAATGCCTTAAGAATACCCTTATAATGTGTAATAAATATGGGCTTCATAGAAAGTGTTACCAACATTTCTTATTACCAATGCTGAAAAGTTTTGCTGCTCAGTATTTTTGTGGAAACTATGATACGTTTTTTTTTTTTTTTAGGATTCATTGATTAAATATAAGTTCAAAAGAACCACATTTATTTGAAATAGAAATCTTTTGTAACATTATAAATGCCTTTACTGTAACCTTTGATCAATTTAATGCATCGTTTAAAATATATATAAAAAATATATATATATATATATATATATATATATATATAATTAACAACAAAACATTGCATTGTTTAATGTTTTTGTTTTGTTTTTGCAAAACAACTTGTATACTGAATAAATTAAAATGTGGACAAAATATATTGGTTGTATGATATTTCTTAAAAAAATAAATAATAATAATAATAATAATAATAAATTACCAATGACATGTTTTAATAATGTTGCAATATTATTATTAACTGCGGTACTCTTTCAGAAAGAGAATATGCAGAATATGCAGACTTTTTAGCGACACACATCTGATCGTCTAAAAATTACTGGCTAAACATCAACATTTAGATTAATACCAGTACCATGGATTTATTTTTTCAAATAAATATGGACATATATTTATTGCATAGTCCTATTTTGGACACCATTGACTTTTATTATATGGACAAAAACACATTTCTCAAAATACTTTCTTTCATGTTCCACAGAAGAAAGTCATGCAGGTTTGGAACGGCATGTGGGTGTATAAATGATGACAGAAAATACCAAAGTTTAGACTACTTCAGCCATAAGGTCTACTTTTATGAACCGCATACTGCATTATTTGGGCAAACGCAGCTGAGATACGGTTAAAAAATTACATAGGCAACCCATTCCTGTAAGTGTCTTTTTTTTTAATAAACCATTTTCTCTAGGTGTTCTGGTGGCTTTGCCAAAAACACATGAGTGTGTGCTCCTGGCCCTGTCACTGACGCAGCTGTGATAGCGTTCATACAAAGCGTGAGTCCTGTTACCATCTGAACGCCCATCTGAGCATCCAGGACTTTCTAATATGTAAACTAGCAAACGTCAAATCCACAATATGTTTGCCTGCCTGCTTTGCATCTCCTTTGGGGGGAACGAAGCAGTGGGCGATGAGCCAACTACTTTTACCTGTGACACTGTCACTCAGAAATCACCTGCAGAAATCGTGCAGCCAATTACACTTTGGATATCTATAGACAGAATTGAAACCGATGCGCTGTCTGTCTAGTAAATAACATTCCTCACATTAGCTTATCAAACACAACCCTGATATCTCCCTTTGTGTTCAACGTGTTTACCAAACACTCGACGCCTGCAGACGTGTCAGCGCCCACACACCGAATGATCTGGCGGAGTATTTGTGTTTTGGTTTGGGGCACATCAGCGAGAGCGTTGTCCCAGGATGCATCGAGGGCCCGGATTTTCTGCTGAGGTTCGTGAAAGGATGCGTCACTGAGAGTGCCAGTCGAACATAAACACCTCTAACAAGCCGAAGATGCTGAAGAAAAAAGGACAAATAGAACAGCGAAATCCCCAATTCACAATCCCCACTATCCCGTTCTTTCTATCAACAGAGCCGTATTCGTTCGCTAAGCCTTTTTCTACGTGACAGGTCTCTCTGTTCAATAAAACTGACTTTCCATGTCTCCACTAGTTGCCCTTTCATTTCTCAGTGCAGGGACTGTTTTTTCTCTTAGCTGTGAGAGAGAGTCCCTACAGGTGAGGGGGAGCTTAGCATCCATCATGGCTTTTTCCTGTAACTCAAAGCAAACTGTCATGTCATGTCAGAGAGATTGCCGGTGCTACTTGATCGCAGCGCCAGCGTCTTGTTTAGCCGAGTCCTCTCTCTCGCCGTGTCGCCTGCAGCAGCGGCTGCAGAGCCAGACAAAAACAGCCATTTTCCTGCTGCCAGGTGCCAAGTGCGTACGACTCGCTTCACAGCATCTGTCTGTCTTTTTGATTAGCCATCTTGGGCAATGAAAGCTGAAGTAAACACACACGCTTATACACTATGAAAGCAACACGCATATATGCACACTCTATGTTTCCCCCCAACCTTTATATTTAATCAAAAGAGCCAGAGAGGTGTCGGGATGCATAAGAAAGTCACCAGCTAAAAACACATCCTGAGAGCTAGCTATGCCTCCTGGCATTAAAAGAGGACCTGTCTGAAGACCCATTCACACTGACTGTGATTTTAATCGCTGAAGGTCGACTGGTCACTGTACTTTTGGCTGCTAGTAGACATTCCTGCTGCTGGATGCCCTAGTGTTACGGCATGCGCAACTGGCTGTAACTCTTCAAACTCAATTGTCAGTGCAAATTAATATGTCTTTCTATTTTGGCAACAAATCAGTTTTGCTAAAAACTCACATTCTGCAGGGGAAAGTTTTTGATTGGATATAAATTACAGCAGTGTGTACTGTAATGCATTATATCACATCAGTGGTGGGCAGTAGTCACGTATTTGTACTTTATCAGAATGTTTTTGTTTTGGCAAATGTTTACTTGTTACATTCCAAAGCATAATATCATTATTTTTACTTCACTACATTTCATAAATGGTTCTGTCATGACAACTCTCAGAGAGTTTAGCATGGTAATATACATAGGGATGTTAACGTGTTTGGTTATTGTAAAGTTATTTTTTTTCCCTCATTAACGTACACACAGCACCCCATATTGACAGAAAAACACAGAATTGTTGACATTTTTGCAGATTTATTAAAAAAGAAAAACTGAAATATCACATGGTCCTAAGTATTCAGACCCTTTGCTGTGACACTCATATATTTAACTCAGGTGCTGTCCATTTCTTCTGATCATCCTTGAGATGGTTCTACACCTTCATTTGAGTCCAGCTGTGTTTGAATATACTGATTGGACTTGATTAGGAAAGCCACACACCTGTCTATATAAGACCTTACAGCTCACAGTGCATGTCAGAGCAAATGAGAAATATACATAGGGATGTTAACGTGTTTGGTCAGAATAGATCTGCTACTCTGCTGTGGCAGAGCAAGTACAGAGACTTGCTACTGACAATACATCCACAGATACAGTGGGTACGGATAGTATTCAGACCCCTTAAATTTTTCACTCTTTGTTATATTGCAGCCATTTGCTAAAATCATTCAAGTGATGTAACATACATGAAATTTCCCCATAGTAGATCTATACAGGTGGAGCTGGGGAAGCTGAAGTGCGCTGCAACTGCTACAGAAAGCACTAGCCAAGTATTTAAAAGTTGAGCAGGAATCTCATTGGCTGCTGATGTGCAGAGAAACCAATCAGCTGCACCATGTAAATGATGATGTAATTATATCAGATGATGATGTAATTATATGTAATTATATAATGTAATTTAGATGACTTTGTCATCTAACCAGGAGATCCTCTGAGCTTGCTTTTCTGTTACTAATAGAAAGGGATGCTGGACAAATCTGCTGGACATCATTGTAAAACAAAATAAAAAAACCTCCACTGTCTTCACTTCCATTGGTGATAGTCGCATCACCATATGAAAAAGTTACACTTTTTTCAACTTTCTTGAGTTGCAGAAGAGACTAATGTTAGTGTTGGGTTTGAGTCCACCTTGTTGAGTCAGTGTTCAGTCCTAGTTTTTAATAAAAAAAAATTTAGAGTGGAGATATTTTTATCCTAATTTTATGTTGTTACTTATCTTTTATGCTACACGTGACATGGACATTTTGGACACAGAAATTTTTCAGAGTTCAGACAAATCCAAGTCTGAGTCCACCCGAGTCCTTCTGAGTCCAAGTTCATTCATAATTGCAGTCTGAGTCCAAGTCCGAGTCTAAGTCTCAAGTCCAAATACCCCAAGACTGCAGGCAAATCAGATCTTTTCAGGCTTACTATTAATTGCAAGTGATCAAATCCGATTTGTGTGTCCAGACATAACCAACTTATCTGCATGGCACGACACAAGCATACCCACTTTTTGATGAGGCTTTCAACAGATGCAGGAAAAAATAGAGGTTCAACATCTTGTTCTCCAAATAAGCGCCCTATTGAGTTGCGATGCAGAAATTCTCTGTCACACAAGAAAAACTCTGCAACGGAGGAGACTGGTATATATTGTGATGTTCCATGCCATAGTCACAGTCAGCTTCGGCTTCGTTTGAATACTGTATACTGTAATTATTTCTGGCATCCCCATCAACGGTTTGACGTTATTGTTGTTTGTCACATTAAGAATGATGTGCATCCAGCAGCCAGAACATCCAGACTGAGATGCATCAGTAAAAATCTGATTGGAATTGCACTTCAAACCATCTCCATATGGGGTTTGAATCAAATTTGAAAAAAAAAAAAAATCAGATTTCATGTGTTTTTATGCTGACAGTCTGAACTAATGTCATCATATTGTCATTGTGAATTTAAACATGGTATACGATACTCACCAGCAGGTGCGAGTCCACTACCAAGCTCCTTATAGGGCACCTGCAGACTAGTGTCCAGAGTACGGAAACCCTCTTTCAGAGAGTGCTGTTTGTAATACTCAACAAGTCCCTGGACAGAAAAAAAATCACAAGTTTAAATGCTTATTTCAGGGATTCCCAAAATGTTTTGCCAGCTGAACCCCTGTGACCTAAAATATTTACTTAAAGTCCCCCTGTAATTTTAAGTTAATATTTCAATAATTATCAACACATTCACATGTTCACAATTCTCTTTTTTGTTGGTTAATGGTTAAATCACATGCAGGTAAACAAACAAAATATAGCATCTTTTTAGTGTTTAATTTTTATTATTTTAATTTATTTTCACGATTTCACACTTCACTTTTCTGTCATCAGATTGAGTGAATAGCATGCATATTTGGTGTGCTGTCCGAGGGGAGGAACCCAGAGAACTCCCCATATCCCCAAGCTGGGACAAGAATAGTTAGGAGTGAGGTGGGATGCCAGAAAAACGTTTGTGGGAAAGCGGTAAGTTGGCTGTATATATATATACAGTATTCATGTACTATCATGCTAATTAAGTTGATTATCTGAAAATCATCCACCTGTGCTGAACGTGCTCCTCCGGAATTAGTTTTAGATCTTAATTTTAAATTTGTATTACCTTTCAAAGAGCTGCAGTTGGGAAACCCTGCCTTATTTGATCTTAGTGGAACAGCTACAATTGCTTATGTGTAGATGCTCACATTTACAAAAACATGCATACATTGTTTTATGGATGTGCACCATGGTAATACTATTCTTTGACACACCCTGGAGTACCATGATATATGAATTAATAATCATTCAGCACTATTGCATACATTAAAGTGTTCCTTCTTACAGTACATGCTGTCACCACAGTGTACTTTATTAGGGAAACTTGATCATTTTAAAACCATCTAGAAGAAAACATAACAAGGTTGCAGTAGTATTGAAGACTCTGATGGATTAATAGCTGGACTCTCATTATTAATTATGCTAATGAAATACAGAAATATGCAGATCAGCACATGTTCTGGTTTTTCGATAAAAAAAGCTCAGGTCTCTGCAGCACAGCTAGCGACACTAAATTATAGCACCCTACATATGTATTCATACGGTGATGATAAATAGAGCAAATGATGATGAAGACCATTGCTTCTGTGCAACTCAAACCCACTTACTAACACAGTCTTGAATGTCCTGCTTTCAGCAATGTAGAAGCAGCCCTCCTTGGTGAGGATCTTAATGTGTTTTACATCATTGTTGTACCTGCAGATGGCAGAGAATTGCTGTAACTATTGCAAGATTGTCAATATTTCCACTTCAACAATGTCAACATTGACTAAGTTTACAGGGACATCAGTTAATCTTATTTATTTAGTTATTTTTCAACGTGGCACTAAAATGTTGCCATAGGTTATTTGTAGATACGAATGCAAACACAATTTTGGCACAGCAGTCCAAAAAACAAACAAAAAAAGTGAAAAATAGTGAGGGGATATTTTAATTATTTGTTAATAAACTAGTGTTTTCTGAGTCAATGTCGCAAAGATGAATTTGATGAACCTGACTCGCCATTTCCTCATCAGACGTGATTCAGCTTCCACTCTCTGCACAAACGATTGGATATGCACCTAACAGCACACATTTATTTAGGTTAAATGTTTAAAGTAATACTGTGAAATGCACAAAGTGTTTTAATGTCTATAGATTTTATTTTAGGCAAGTCGTCGTGTTGATTTGAGAAGGCTAAATTGATCAAACATATGCTCAACTCACTGTCTGCCGCTGGCCGCTTGGTCATTCCTTTAAAAAACAAAAACCTGAATTTAACAAACAAAATGCATTAACAAAATGTTCCAAACACATTTCTAAATGAACTTAAAGAAACGAAAAGAAATATTACCACTTTGCCATTAAAAAAACAAAACTGAACAATTTTAATGGCTGCAACAGCAGCTGTGTAATGGGGAAGAGAGAGAGAGAAAAAGACACTGTAACGGGACCGACGAGACGTGAGGATCCATGTGCAAGCTTTTATTAAGAGACGTGGTTTTAACAGGCATGGGTCAGACAATGGCAAATGGGGATATCGAAGGCAAGGCAAGAGATAAATCCAGGTAGAAGGCAAAGGTCCAAGCAGGGGCAAACAGAGTCAGAAACAGCAAGCAAAGGGTTAATCCAAGAGACGTGGCGTGAATCAGAGACCATGAAAACAGACAAGGCAAGACTAAGACTAGACTAAGAAAACTATGAAAACTTAAACAGGCTCGGTAAGGTAGCTATCCGCTAAACAGGGGTACATGCAAAACAATACACGAGACTAAAACAGAAAACACAGAATGGCTCAGTAAGGCAGCTAACACTTGGGGAGTGAAAAATGCAGAACAATACTCGGCAGTGAGAGAGAGGAAGTCCATGGCTTAAGGAGCATGTCTGATTGGATTCAGCTGTGTGTGTGTGTGATCAGTGCATTCAGCTGTGTGCGTGTAATCAGTGCAATGGTTGATGGGAAATGCAGTCCAGGGTGATGTGTAACAGTCTGTGTGGTGTAAGAGTCAATGTAATGGGAGAATAACCTCTAGTGGCAATCGGCCTGAAGCCCATGGACCGGATTCGTGACAGACACGGGCTCCAGTCGGACTCGGGCTGAGAATTCTGATAAGCTGTCGTACAAGAGAAATTGCACCTTATGCACCTGCATACCCTGCATACCCAGATGCTACGCCACTGCATGAGTTGCTTTTAGAATATTCCTTTCATGTTCACGTTTTAAATGTTATAGTATATAAATCGATTAATGGCACACGTCATTACGTCACTACGCGACGCCATCCATTTCACATATAAACATATAGTTCGTCTATAATTCGTACGTTTACATGGACAACAATATTCCGATTTTAACACGATTAGGACAATATTCTGATTAAGAATCTACCATGTAAACAGAGATTTTTGATTACCTTAATCTGACTAAAGTCATACTCGAAGTAAACACAAATCGAATTAAGACGTGGAGTATTCCTATTTTAGTCGCATTATTGAAGTGCATTATAGACATGTACACACCTTAATCACATTATTACTGTCGTGTAGGACTTTCGCCGCATTTCGTGACAGGATACACACGGCAGTGGTCAACCGTTTGACGGCAAACAAAAGAGCTTCAACACTGCCGTCGTCTGTTTGCACGTATAGCATGACAAATAATTAACTGCACTTGAAGCTTTCAGTAAATGAAAAATGAAACATCCAAAACTGAATATGGCATCATAACGAAGAAGAACTATATGTTTATATGTGAAATTCTGGAGGGGACTTTGGATGGCATCGCGTGGTGACGTAATGGCGTGTGCCATTAATCAAACTGTACTATAACATGTATAACATGTATAACATGTACTATAACATGTAAAACGGGAACATGAAAGGAATATTCTAAAAGCAACACATGTAAACCTTAATCATAATATTGTCTTATTCAGAATAAGGTAAATAATTAGATTATGATGTCCATGTAAACGTAGTCAATAATGTCCACTTCAACAAAGAAGTTTTAACAAATAAATTTATTTATGGAGCACAATAAAAAAGTGCATTCTAAATGTGCAAATAAAACCCTTTTAAGAGCCTATGAGCAATAAGTGAGCGTTAAAGGGGCAGGTCACCTAAAAAGTAGAGTGAATTAATTTCCATTTTTTGGTGAACTATTCCTATAAATACTTAATCTAAAGATGTCATGAGAATGAGAAGATCTAATGTTCAGTGCTAGGTTATTCCACAATCCCCTTTAAACTTTAAATGTGAGCTTGTTGTGGAGAGTTAACTATAACCAAAGGATGTGGAATAGTGCTGTCGGTCCCTGAACACATTCAGAGGATAAAATATTTTGAGACATGAGCATGAGACATGCAACTATTTAATGTTCTGAGGTAATAAAGCCCACAGTGAGTATGTACGTGATCACTCACTGACCACATCTATGCTACACATTAGTAGCTGTATGCAAATTCCACGATGCATTATGCATTGGGTTGCATGGAGGGAAATGCATGAAGAAATCTAAGCTTTGCATGCAAAAGGACGTTCATGCAAGGACCTCATGACTATCTGTCATGCCAATTTTATGCGCAATAAAAACATGCTGGCTCAAATATATGAGGTGGGATAATAGCTACACGTACTTGATGCTGATAGCGTACTCTCTGCTCTCCCGGCTCCTGTATCGCACCAGGTAGGTGCTGTTCTCTCTCTCCATGAGCTCAGACTCTGCGTGGTGCCTCTCCATGGGCCCGGCGAACCTTATCGCACAAGCCAACATGCACGTGGTTAAAACCAAAACAACAACACTCAGCACATGCAATCGTGCAGGTTATTTTGTGTCATGTGGACATTGGAATAAATGTGATTAAACATTTACTGTTGAGACATACCAGGGTTGAGCTGAATAGTCGACTGTCCTCGGTACCTGAGGATGAGAAACATTATAAACAATGTCATACTTACATACACTACAAGTTATACCCATTTAAGTTTTTCATTATATATAAACATGTTCAACATTGATAATACAAACCATTATTAATAATTAATTGAGAACCAAATCAGCATATTAGAATGATTTCTGAAGAACCATGAACCTGAAGAACCTGAAGAACCAAGACACTGAAGACTGGAGTAATGGCTGCTGAAAAATCAGCTTAGCCAACACAGGAATATATTCAAATAGAAACAGTTATTTTAAATTGTACTAATACTTAACAATATTACTGTACTAATTTTTGTTCAAATAAATGCAGCCTTGGTGAGCATAAGAGACTTCTTTCAAACACATTTAATAATCATAATTATTAAAAACTTTTGGCCACTGATATACTGTACATAGTTCACACAAATAGAAATCAACAGCATTAAAATGATTATATAAGTCATACAAATATACATACACATGGGCAGGGTTTGACTGCATCACTTGGAAAGAAGCCGGTCTCTTGCGTTGTCAGGATTTTGCCCTGCCAAGACGTGTGGTTGTTAATTGCATTATATTTGCCTTGAGGCGATGCTCCCCCTCCCCTTTGCTTTAATAAATCTAAGACAATTAGCTCACAACAAGCAGTGAATCTCATTTAGAGCCACAGTTAATTACTGTTCAGCCCCTACCCACGGTTAAACTCCGTTACGCATCAGAATGAAAGCATCAACTAATGCTGAATAATCATACAGCTTCCACAGCAGAACCTCGTGAATCACAACACTCGCCAATAAGCCATTGTTTGATATTGCTGCTCCGAGCATATTTGGATTTATGAATTACATTAGACCCGAGTTTCGTATTATGTCCTCGTGCAATAGATTGTATTGAGCAATCGCAGGCCGGATGCCAGTTTTAAAATAGGCTCATTTCTTGCATGGCTTCAGCCACAATTATCTGTATATTTTTGGATAAAAACTGACAATTCCCCCCGACTCGGTATGAAACAACAGCTGGGAGGTTATAATGCGCTGTGAATGCGGTGGAACCAGATGCCAAAATTTAGCAGCCTATGATTGATTGCGATTTTGACTGAAGGTTTGACTGAGGGTGTAATGAGCCTCTTCTCAAACAACTATACTGCTAAATATATATTTTTCTTTCCTGGCCCCCTTTAAGATCATCTTTAACAAGAATGAAATTAATTTCAGAAAATTGCACCTCTACCCCAAATTAGATTGGAGCCCCAAACTGGAACTGCATTCATGATTTATTCGGCTTAATAATGTTTCGCCGTAGCTTTTGAAAGCCCTTTATATTTGTTAGGCCACAGATAAGCGTATGATAAAGATTAAACTTATTACCCCATTAGAGTAAACAGTTGGCAGCCTAAAGGATCAAATTAAATTACAGTGATCGATTGCACTGTTCTGGCAACGGGACAGAGATAATTGTCTTTTAGTAACATGGGAGATGAATGCTTAGAGCTCTGTAATTCCATTCTTTGGTGTCATGGGACTCTGAAGATTTAGTAGCCTTATTAAGAGTTAAGTGTCGTTTCACACAAGATAAAATAAACCAGTGATGTGCATTATCATTCAACAGCAGCGCTTCTCGCTCCCCTCTATGACCTGCCTGGTGCGTGGAGAACCACGGCTGACACGCACGTCTAGCTGCTGCCTGTCTCAGTCTGTTGGCTCGGTGAATCTCTTGGCATCCATTTTTGAGCTGTAGGGTTTTACCTGCTTCGGTGTGTGCTATCAGGCAGAAATGGCCCAGCATAAAGCATGGGAAATCTCGCTAAGTGTCTATTCCCCCGCCGAGCTGTTCGAGACGCGTCGGCCAGATTGGAGCAACACCAGGAGGAAGATGAGGTTTTAGTGCCACCATAAACCATAGAGAAAAAGAGCCACAGCAGCCCGGCACTAGCCAGAAATAAATAACGCAGGAACAGTCTGTGACAATAAGCTAGAGACAAAACGGCAATGCCGAAACATGCCTGAACAAAGATTTAGGTATCAGTTCATATTAGAAAGCAATGTGAAAAAAGGAAAGTTTTCAGTCATTATTTATAGTTTACACTTTTGTATATTGTACTAAAGTTATACTAAGTTGAGTACAGATGTGTTTGTATTTACAGTAGTATATCTGCTCAAAAAGAATCAAATATTACAATATTACAAACATTATAGCGCTGTGAGTACGGAGTAATATTAATTAATTAGATAATTGAACAAATTAAGAAGACAACAACAACTATAAATACAGTGGTGACTAAAATTAATACAACACCAGTATTTTCACCAGCAAAAAATGGTTTTAAGTCAGTTATTTCTATCTTTTGCTATAGTATGTCAGTAGGAAATATCAGTTTACATTTCCAAAAATTCATTTTGCTATTAATTGTAATAATTTTTGTCTGACAGCAGCCAGTGCTGCACACAGATTTGATCTCATCATCATCATCCAGTCTGTCTGCAAAGCTACAGTACTGTTAAATGAGGATGCTGTCAAAAATAATGTCATAAATAGATTTTCTTTATCAGTTAACTTCTATTAACTAAATTAAATCAACATTTGGTGTGGCCATCCTTTGCGTTTAAAGCAGCTTTTGCCCTAGGTGCATTTGCACATAGTTTTTCAGGTAGCTTTGCAGGTAGGTCTCCTGAAGCATCTTGGAGACGTTGCCACAGTTCTTCTGGATTTAGGCTGTCTCAGTTTGTTCTGTTTCTTCATGTCATTCCAGACTGACTGGATGATGATGAGATCAAATCAAATCTGTGTGGAGCACTGGCTGTCGTCAGACTTCTTGTGCAAACAAAAATCTCACTGGATTATTACAATTAATGGCAAAATGAATGTTTGGAAATGTAAACATTACATTACAAGATATTACAAGATATTTCCTACTGACACACTACAGAAAAAGATGTTAAAACCATTTTTTAGCTGGTGAAAATGCTAATGTTATATTAATTTTGGCTACCAATGTATATACAATTTTTATCAATTTAATGAATCCTTGCAGAATAATTGTATTAATTTTCAAAATATAAATTATTTTTTTTTTATTATAATTCACCTAAATAGGCCGACAGTCCGTTGGCTATGGAAATACTGGTTACTGCATTTATCATTTGGTTGAAATGTCAGAAGACAGATTTGTAGAAAAGGTTATATGTGCCCTATTTGCTTTGATATATGTTGTGATCAAGCTTCAGGGTCCCATGACACCACAGAACACAATTCCACTATTTGGTGTTTAAATACTACTGTACTTTATCTGACCTCCCACCAGGAGCTGTGAGGATCGGCATAGATGACCTCTATGACATCACCAATCTGAGCATTCAGCGGCGGTCCACCCGAAGGACTGGGAACCCCAAAATAGTCTCTGATGACCAGCATTTTTGGCAAACCTGTAAAAATAAAATGTGACATAAAAGCAATATTGGCACTATTCCTAAAACATGTTCCTGGTCTTATTTTGCATGTTGCATTTGTGCACATAATTCCAAAGAAAAGATTTTTGACCTACTTCACTTGTGAAAAGTTTTGATTTTAGCTGACATCACCAGCCCTCTCATTTTTCAACCACTTGACTCCATTTTGGTGCTTAACAGCCAATGTTCACAGTCAGCAAATAATTCACAATGAAAACAATCAAGTCCAACTTATTTTCTAATTGAATGTGTCAGATTACATACGTCAAATGGCTTGAGAACAAGTTTACATTAAATACAGCACAATACGAAATTATGTAAAAGATTACAGATTATGTGTTTTATGAAACTGACAGAATAGAGAGCAATTAGGCAACATAAAATACAAATAAAGAATAAAGAATAAAATAAAGCCAGAAAGCTTATGCTTGTGATACACTTAATAACAACTATAGCCTTTTATAAACAGTTTATGAAATGCATTTCACATCAAGCAACACAACCATTATTTTTGCTCCACTCCAGCATTGTGCTCAGTGGGTGGCCTTTCAAAACCCAAAGCGAATGTCCACTTTTCTCTTTCACAAAGGACAAATAAAGTGACGCACAGCAGCAATTGTTGTTTCCACAACCCTATCCACTAAATCAGAGGCAGTGACACTAACCAATGACAGAGAAGGAGATCATCTGAGGCTGTTTCTTACTCTAGAGCCTCAGTGTACGGTGGTTAATAAGGCTGGGGAACAACATAAACTCCCCCTGAAGCCTTAGACTGAGGCTGGGGGTTTCTCCTAGCATAAAACAGCTCCTTAGTATCCAGTCTATAAACTTGTTGTTTTTAATAGTGCCAGGTGCCCGGGTCTTAATGTAGACAGTAAAAACAGTTGTTTTACATGTATTGGCTAGGCTTATGGAGCTCTATGCCTCTAGACTGAACTGCATCCTCTGTTACTAAACTAAGCTTCTTGTCTTTGCTTTCATTTACTGTACAGTATAAAAGCTAAATACTATGTGATCATTAAGCCTTTTGACATGATTAATATAGTTAATTTAAATATGACAGTTACAGTGACTTTTACAACCAGGAATTGATTTTGCGACAGCCAAGGCATGTTTCTGGTAGTGATATACAATATAGTGGCATATGTATGCATGTATGTGTATGTATGTGTAGCCGAAGTCTCTTATGCTTTCCACGGCTGCATTAATTTGATAAAAAATACAGTAAAAACAGCAATATTGTACAATATTATTACGATTTAGATTATAATTTTATATTTAAGCTAGGCTGTTTAGGCTGAGGTCTTATCGTGAACAATAATGGACAGCCCAGAGAAGGCGTTTTCCTGCCACTACAGCCCACTCAATCGACCCTGGCAGCTTTGACTGGTGCTCAGCAGCCCTTGCCTGAAGCTAACTCAAAGGATCACATATCTGACATCCCAGGTGTTTTATGTGGTGTTCACCAGGAGTGTCAAATTTGTGACAAAATTCTTAAATCATAACAAACAATTACAGTTTTCTCAAAGCAGATCTATGGAAGAGAAAAGTGTTCCAGATAGTAATGCTGAAGCAACCTATCCACGTGAGGAAACTGAGGATGATATTGAAGAGGAAGAAAAGTTGTGTTCTTAGATAACTTATAACTTGACTTGTTATCTTCAGTTTATCAACTGCCTGAATCAAGGAGATGTTCAACAACTACTGTAATATGCATTGAATTATAAGGTATTTTAATGCCATTTACCGTAATTTACTGTACATGGGAATTTCCTGTACTTTACTGTTTGCTCAAAGGCAGTAGTGCTACTGTAAATTGTTCTGCAGATGAAAAACATGAATCTGCATTCTCAAGATAATGTCTGGGTAAGCACAAGTGTGGTGAAATAAATGCATTTTTAAAATGATTAAAAAATAAAATATATAAACTTTGCTTACACCCCACAAAATAAAAAATTTTATTCGCGCGCAAAGCCCGCGCAACAACCTGGCAGAGGTTATATAAACTGAGGCTTGTGTTGGGTGCACGCATAACGGACTTCCCCTCTGAGTGAATCGCCAGACGTCAGCTGCCAGTTTTCCTGTGGTAAGTACTTTTCACTTACTTTTAAAACGTAAATCATTATCAATATCAATGAAATTAAAAAATATGAAGAAAGTAAATGGAAAATCTAATTATAGGCTATTACTAGGACAGTCTGAGGGAAAAGTTTGTTTTCCTCAAAAACTGCCGCTTTCATGAAACTCATTCAATTGTCCTGCACCTGACTGACTGCCTTTCTAGTATAGATGTGTAGTATTTACACGAACAATTATTTTTCGACTTTTTTACTGCTAGATATGGTATATTTTACTCCTCAGTTAAATGAATACTGTTAAATGCCGTTAAATGTGTGTGACGTCATTTGAAATAGCACGAGCGCTCTCTCTCTCTCTCTCTCGTGCAAGATGGATAGGCCTATATGCCGCGTGCTCTCTCTCGTAAATGAAACATTTACGCCAGTGCATATACCAGAGAAAAAAATATATTCAAGTAAAATTATAATAAATTAATTTAAGAAAGAAAATGCATTCTTTATTGTGGCTTCTTGTTTGTTAATAGAACCAGAAGGTGCTGTATGTAAGACTGCTGCTTAAGACTGTATGTTTGACTCTACTAAAGCATAAAAATACCATAATATGTTTGCAGATATTTAAGAAACATGCTAAGTTAACATACTTGTTTATCTGAAAAACAATGCTACAGTTAGTTATTCTACTTTGAAAATGTGCGTTCCGGGTCGGAATGTCGGTCTCTGTTTTGGTTTGTGAAACCCGCCCACTGCCAGTTTACCCAATTGTATTTCGTCACCCCGGGTTGCCAGTTGGCGGGAAACACAGCGTATTTAATTTCATTCAACGTCAAGTGCGCTCGTTCCTGTTGGTTTCGTCATTTCCTCTCCGATATTTGAATTTGAACTGCAATACCTAGTTCAACCACTCGGTGTCAATCCTACATACAGCACCTTTAAGTTTCATATTAATTTTTTTTTTTTTACATGTAATTGTATATATTCTCTTCTCTCTTTTTTCAGTGTTGATTGTAATCTGATTGTGTAAGTGATCAATCGAGCAGTCATTTTAAATCTATGATTTATCATGTTCATAACATATAGTGATTAGTCAATAATCACTGATGAAAAATAATTATTCTTCTTTTTCTCTCTTTTGCTTGTTTCAACAGGAGCTAACTACACCCCAAAGGCTATTTTAGGAGCCACAGCACTGAGCATCTTTGGCTTTGTAAGTATGTTTTAACTATCAGACACAGTATGTGACATTAGATTAACTGCAGCTATGACAGAAATGTTTTAATATAATAATAATTAAAGAGATGTTATATATATATACAGTATATATGATCAAGCATCCCACATCTGATATATATGCAATATCTCTCTGATGTTTCCTCTTTTCCTCCCTTTTTCTTGTTTCAGCAGGAGCCGGGCTGGGGATTGATAGAGATTTCATAATTCCATTTGATTCACAAGCTCTTAATTCATTTCTGATCTTGATTCAATTCAGTTTGATTCACAGTTATTCTTATTCTCTTATTCTGATTCCAGTTTCCATACGATTTAACTGGATTAAACTATTTCTGAGAATTTGATGACAGCCATTTATGTACCTTGATTTAGTATTCATTTTGGTTATAATCCTGTATTCTTCAAGAGTACTTCTAGATTGACTCAAAAGCCTGTTTTGCTCTAATATTTACAAACAATACAAATGTTACAGTAGCTGATACACACTGATATTCCTTGGATCAAGAGCTGTCACAACTAAAAAGATACTTTAAAACAAAAAATAAGTTTAAGTTTGAAGGACCATAAAGTTACTCTTTAATGTGATTGTACATTCAGGCAATTAATGGAGTTCCCTGACAAGGATGTGCAAAAAAGCAATACTGTTTAAACAGTACTATACTGGGAATAACTGCTGTTGCACAAGTTGTTACCTTGTCTGACCATGAACAAATTTAGATGAGATAAACTCCTGACCATTTCCCCTCTGTTTTGTTTCAGATCAGCTGTCAGTGGTTATGGAGGCCATGCAGCCAAGACCAACTAGGATGCTTGTTACCATATTTCTTTTTGTTGCAATATTGTCATGATCTCTGCTTTGATTTGTTGTTATGAATTCAGTTATCTATTTTTTTTGTAATGTTCCAGAATAATGCACAATAAATAAGTAATTAATGGATGTATTAAAAAGTGACAGTGAATAAAAAATATACTGTTGTACATGGACTCACTTATTTGGAATTTATTAAATTCAATGGAATTCATGTAAAATATTCAAAGGTTTTATAAAATAAATAGTGTAAAGTAAATTACAGTAAAATTACTGTAATAATATTATACTGTAAAACTAAGTTACAGTAAGGATATAGTACTGTAAAAGTAAGTTGCAGTAAGGGTATTTTACTGTAAAATGAAATTGCGGTAAGGGCATTATACTGTAAAATGAACTTTCGATAAGCTACTGTAAAGGGGTAGTTACAGTAACTTACTGGCAATAGTGCTGCCAGTAAGTTACCGCAAAAATACAATAAACAGTCTAACAGTGTATATAAAGATCGCTTCACCCCAACTTCTTCCTCATCGGCTTTTCCCACGTTTTCACAGCAGCATTATGAAGAACAGGCTTGCTCTGTGGTGAGTGATGCGGGCCAAAGAGCCAGGCAGGAGAAGAAGAAAGTAGTTGAATCTGTAAAATGACTGATAGGGACTCGCAGCAGAGGCAGGCATCTAGCCTATCCTAATGTGTGTGCGCGCCATGACTCATGAGTGTGGAATACGTAAAAAGAAACATTTAAATTTTTTGTAAATTCGTCCCCCGTGATTTTTTTGGCCAAGTCAAGTCAAGTGTGTTCATAGAGGTTTCCATGGGCCAATGCGAATAAAGCTAGATTTAAATAAAAAAGACAAGA